TCTCGTTCATACAGTATCCGTATACAAACTACAATGCACCTCAACACAAGGCAACATAATGAACGACACTCGTCTCATTCGTGGAGGTGGAAAAACAAGTTCTTTGTGACATGCAAGATTTGTTGTATTAAAATGTAAATGCAAAAGAAAAGGCATGAGAGTCGGTTGTTTTTGTCAATTTTAAGTTTTCATTTAAAATGTTTGCGATTTTAATATAAGTACATGGTTACATATTTGACCAATTGCTTGAGCAACTTAATATATAGAAGTAATGCATGGAATAATTGGCTTACGTTGTTGAAATAGCGAGTATGTGTTAAAATAAAAATAGAGAGTACCGGGGTGTTTGTGGTAACGTTACAGCCGCGGATCAGTTAGTTAGCTACGCACTGCAAACGCAGCATATAAAGCACTGTAGCGCGTCCTGCTTCTGTCCCGTATACGCACCGCACACGCATTCCACACGGATTATGTGTGAAACCTGTGGTAAAAGGATGGGAACAGACTTTTCTGTGGTGAGTTGGCTAAAAGTTTAGCCTATTTATCCTAGCTAGCCTCTCTTGCGCTGGCTCAACTCTGTCTCCTTCCCTTCACGCTTTCTGACAGTCGATAACTTATCGAAATCATAAAAACTAACCCCGGGGTTCTTATTGCTGTTGTTAGAACAGACGTGTATTACACAACACACCATCACGCTGTTTAAAAAAAAAAATACAGTGATAATACCATGGATAATACCGACGCTGCCTCGCTTGTCAATTGACAGACTGACAGTTGCCGTGATTTCTATGTCAACAATATGGCCGCCGCAAACATTGATGACGCAGATCGAATAACATCTATAAGAAGGAGCTTGGCCCATTCCTATATTTTCCTATATGAGGCTCATTACTGATCTGGCCTCTATTACTGTGCGTTCACACCGGACGCGAATAGCGCGTCAAATTCGCGTCTACCGCATCTAGTTTGACGCTTGACCGCTTTGTGTTAATTCGCGCGTCAAGAGTGAAACTGACGCGCGTAAAAACAAAAGTTTAAAGCGAAATTTACGCGCGTCAGAAGCGAAATCCGGAGGTGGTCATCTTTTTTAGATGTTTATTGAGCATTAGCATTAGCATTAATCGAGAGAGTCACCGCTCGTATTTGCTCTGGAGAGCAGAAACAGCTGCGTAGGGTACATCGTCGCTGTACTCGGATCCGCCAGACCCTCCGGAGGGTTTCAGGAGTTTCACAATTTGTTCCAGGAGCTAGGTTTGGTGGACCTGACGGTGAGGACGCTGACGAGGACAGCGTAGGCCGTGTAAAGCCTCGGCCTCGAGTGGTCTATGCCTGTCGAGCCCGCGCTCTACAGCCCGGCGCGAGGTTCACCCTCGCCCGCACATTTATTTGATAATAAATGGAGCCAGCCTCCAAAAGTGAAACCTGTCCTGTGATTTTTTTTATTTATTATACACTAAGTGTTTGTTGTTTTTACATTAAAATAATAATGTTTCATATAATCTAAAATAGATATGGAATAAATGGCATTCAATACAAAATGAGTACTATCTCATATATTAAAATCGAGTTTTTATGTGAAAGATTTACTTTGTTGTGCATTAGAACCACACCAGACATTTTAGTAATATTACAAAATAATTTATTAAAATAACAAACTTTCACTTCACCACGTGACAGCAGCAAGCAGGCTCCTGATTGGTTAATGCGGCGCGAATTGACGCAGAAGTTCAAATTTTTCAACTCGGGCGGCAGACGCGAATTTGCGTCAAACGCGTGAATGCACAAATAGCACTAACTAAATCATTCGCGCTTCCGCGCCAGACGCTTCAATTCGCGCCATTCGCACGAAACTTGACGCGCGAATGAGGCGTATTCGCGTCCACCGCGCCACGCTCTACGCCTCATTCGCGCCGCAGGAATTTTTTACGTGCGTAACGCGTCTTTGCATTGACTTAACATTGAAATCGCTCGCGCCTGACGCGCTATTCGCGTCCGGTGTGAACGCACCATTAGGACTGCATAACTTTACTCTTCTATGAGCCTCGGGCGCTTGGCCCTAGGCAATAGTTTGGGGCGAAGTTTTAAAGCATGCACAGCGTTTTGAAAGGGGTTCCCATAGCGTAAGCTAACTTACGCAATATGAGAGACCTCTCGAAAGGGAACGTCTTGGTTACTAACGTAACCTCGGTTCCCTGAGAGTAGGGAACGAGTATTGCGTAACCCGCCGTGCTACTGTGCTTAGATCAGGGGATCGCTTCAGTCGATTTAACCTGAATTCTATGACGAAAATGGGGGCTTATATAGCTATAAGCCACGCCCATACTGGCAGGCTATGACGCGCCATTACGCGAAGCGACCTGATTGGTTCGCGCATCTTAGCCGCCTCGCCATAGGTTCGTCATTCTTCAACATTTGTAATTTCAGTGTAAATACATTAATGGAAAAAAAACGTGTTGTAATAATTTGTTGTTGGACTTTGGATAGTTTCTAAATCCCATGTCTGTCTCTCAGCCATATTTTCAATCGTGGAAATATGGCATCTATAGCCTAAGATCGATATTGTTTAATTATTTTAAAATGATATGTTGAGTCTGAACATTAACACTTCTTATAGGTCTGTGCTAAAAATGACAACCTTGTTGTATGACCTGATTGACTGCATTGAAGGTTTCCACCTATAAAAATCTAAATAATATCAGATTTTGAATGACCTTTAAGTCATTAACGGACAAATCTTTTCAGTTTTTTTTTTCCTATAAGGGTCAAAAGTCCTGAGATACTCCCTCAACTCCCTCTGAGCAGACTAGGCCATTTTGCTCAGTAAAATATAATCAGGTAAATCTTAAAAATAACAGATTAAATGATTTACAAGTCACATTTTGAATTGCGGTAGCAATTACTGAAAAACTGAGACTTGAGGGAAAACTGACATTTAAGGATAAAATTTAATAGATCATGATATTTAAAAAAAAAAAAAAAACAGATATTAATGTCTGATGAAATCATCTTCGTCACTATCTGCCGGTGACATTTAAAATACTTCTTTTACTCTTCTGTAATCACATTCTTGTAGATTCTTGTCACCTTTTCCTAAATAATAAATTACTAATATACACCGTCTATATCTTGTTGATTAAAATAATCTAATTGTCATTGAATATTGGAAGTTACACCATCAACATTGTAATCAAGCAGTGCAATAATATCTAATCAATAACAAAGCAATTTTCAGCACATTTTACATTTACATGTGATCATTTACCAGACACTTTTATCCAAAGTGACATACAAATGAGGAGAGCAATAAAACCAACAATATGAAACAACCATTCCCATTTTAGTCTACAAAAAGATGCGTCTTCAGCAGTTTTCATGGGTCATCACAAATAGAAGAATCTTACATTATTTATTAGTGAGTTCAAGTCCTCTAGATCATCATGTAAATCTGATGTCATCTGTAATAAATAAAAAAATCAGACCCACAAAAAGATCCAAACAAGAAACTGCTGTGAAGTCACACACACACACACACACACACACACACACACACACACGAGAGTGAGATCGCTGTGACGTCTCTGTGTCTTCAGTCTCTGTTGACTGTGACGTCTCTGTAGCGGCTCCTTATTCACCATCAGCTCACCCTGAGGAAAATACAATTAAACACACAGACAGTCACATATGGAGTACGAGACATTACTGCGGTCACTTCACACCAGTAGATTCATTTCAGAACAAACACAGGCAGAGATACATATAGAGTACATTAATATTACAGCCAGAGATGTAAAGGTGAGGAGAACATCAGAGCTGTTGTGCCGCACGCGGGGAACGACAAGCTGCGACAGTCGGAGATTCTGGTCAAGACCATTGTGAAAAGATCATCGTGTCAGGAACACTTCCCACTTACCCTCGTGGAAACCAAAGGTTCAGTAGATTATTCGCATTATATGAATGATGTGATGAACAGAAACTACTCTCTCCATGAATTGTAATATTGTAATTGTAAGATTCTTCTGTGAGAATGGCCTGCAGCCCAGAGTCAGAGCAGACCTGCTGTCGGACATCATCTATGTACTGATTAAATGATAATAGCACATGTAGTCCATTCCATAGAGACTGTGTCTGTTCTCAGAATAATGAGAACAAATATTGTTTATTACAGGATCTAGGAAAAATAACTGAGCAGTGAAACTGCCCGCTGTTCTTCAGAAAAATCCTCCAGGTATTGCACATTTTTAGGTTTTCCAGCATCTTCTGCATATTTGACACCTTTCCAACAATGACTATGATTTTGAGATTCATCTTTTACATTAAGGACAATTGAGTGACACATACACAACTATTACAAAAGGTGAAAACATTTACTGATGTTTAAGAAGGAAACAATGCATTACGAGCAGATGGTGTAAACTTTAAACAGGATTATGATGATGTGTAAATTTTGTTTAAAGATCATCTTTTTTTCATTTAGTACTGCCCTTCAGAAGCAAATACTTCCCTGTTTCGTAGAAGACAAAATAATTACAATTTATCTTGTTCATGCTATTTAAAAACACACCTTAGCTTTTAATGCATTGTGTTGCATCAGTTAAAAAATAAATAAAGTTATAATTTTTTTCTAAAAATATATATTTCTTTCTTCAAGAAATACTGTGTAAAACTGATGTTGTTAAAAATAATATGCAGGGGAAAACCAAGTCCTATGTTTGGTGGACCCTGTGTGTTACAAACCTTATTAGCATTCCAAAGTATTCTAAATGATTTAGATTAGGTTACAAAGCTTGTGTAATCTAAGAATTTTTTTTACAAATTACTGTATTTTGTAATCTGTAGTAAATAATCCACTTACAATATAGTGTCTCCAGTTTATAATGTGGATCATTCTTTAGATCAGAGAGAAGCTTGATGTCTGAATCTCCTAGTTTATTCCCAGTCAGATCCAGTAGTCTCAGGTGTGAGGGGTTTTTATCTCAGAGCTGAAGTCAGAGCAGCAAAACCTTCATCTGTGACTCCACAATTCCTCAACCTGTAGAGAACAATGACACACTCTTCATTCTCTCAGTTCAGATCAGTTTAGCAAGTGAATTCATTATTAAAGAGAAAATACAAACTTAAAGCACAAATCAAAATGTTTGATGGATCATTGGACTGAGATCTAAAATGTCACAGAGCTCAAAACATGATTACTAAAAATCTAGTCTTTTTTTTTTTTAGATCTGTACTAATACAGTACGTATGGAGTAATGATTTGTTTAAATTGTGTAAACAATATTTTAAAAACAGTCTCTGCAGAAAGATGAACGTGATGAACTGCAAGAATAAATCCAGCATGTTCTTCATTTCTAAGTTCTGAATGTGTTGAGATCGAGTCGGTATAAAATCAAGAGACTGAAGTGTTGATTGTGATGTGACTGTATTTCAGTGACTCAGTCCTGCAGAATCATGTGACTGAAGAGCAGCTCATGTGTTCAATCACTTACAGTTTAATAAGCTCGATAACAGCAGCAGAAAAAGGCTGAACATTTCAAATATAGGCTACTTTACATTGTGTTTCATGCGCGAGTCATATATGATCTTACCACAGATTCTCCAGTTTACAGTGAGGATCCTCCAGTACAGCAGAGAGCAGAGGAACTGAATCTCCTAGTTTATTCATAGACAGATTCAGTAGTCTCAGGTGTGAGGGGTTTGATCTCAGAGCTGAAGTCAGAGCAGCAAAACCTTCATCTGTGACTCCACAATCCCACAACCTGTAGAGAACAATGACACACTCTTCACTCTCTCAGTTCAGATCAGATCAGTTTAACACAAGGGTCCGCAGCCGTACTGCAGGGCGTCTGTCAATTAATGCTTGATCACAAATAATGTTTTGTTAAATTAAAACATGGGTAAAAACATCACAAAGTCAAATTTATGTCAAATTTAAATATAAGCACTCTGAAATGAATGCAAGAGCACCCTCAGTTGATTCTGTAATAATATCATACTGGCAAACTCTCAAGTGTGTTTTTGTGTTTGAACTCTGGAGAACATCAAATGTTTTTACAGCGGTGAGAAATGTAGCCAATCACAGTCATGTTTGTTGGTCTATTAAACGCAGTGGCCAATCAGAGGCGTTTCATTTTGTCAGAATCCACTCACCGAGATATAAAGGCTCTGTCCCAAATGGCACACTTCATATGCACTTTCAGTCTTGTAGACTTACAATGGCTTCCGCGTCCCGTTAAGTCCATGAGACTGTAGGGTGTCCATTTAGTAATTTTAGGTTTCAGAAGGGGACTCACGAGCGCCGCTCAGCGGTCGATATGTGCCCTACATGCACACTTTTGCTGAGCCCACATTGAGGCCCTGTCCCAAATGGAACCCCAAACACTCGCGGTCTTCCTCTGAGTCCGCACTTTCGTAACGTAACGCCGCTTTGACTGTCGGGAAGAAGTCTGCTGTGGAGTCCGCATCAGCACGGGCTCGGCAAAAGTGCGCATCAAGGGCGCAAATCGACCGCTGAGCGGCGCTCGGGAGTCCCCTTCTGAGATCTAAAAATGACAAATGGGACACACACTACGGTCTCACGGTCTCGGCAGCAGACTTCTTCCCGACAGTCAAAGCGGCGTTACGTCACGAAAGTGCGGACTCAGAGGAAGACCGCGAGTGTTTAGGGTGCCATTTGTGACAGGGCCAAACTCACAATTAAGTGACATAAATAACAATTGCAAGAAAAAGTCAGAATTGCGAGATAAAAAGTCACAATTATCTTTTAAATTGTTTTATCCCGTGGCAGAAACAAGCTTCCATAAATTCGAGGCAACCAGTGGCGAATTAGTCTTCCAGGTTTTGATGTCATCCCTGAAGCTCTATTCACAGTCAGCTTTCCTTTCGCATCCCCCAAATGCCAGAAAACCAATGAGAACGCCGAACAATGAAGATGATGATGCATAATAACAGAACGTAGGGACCAACGTATGGATACACTTACCCAAAACCCTCCATAACTTTTCAATTAATTTCACATTTATTTGTATAGCGCTTTTCACAATACATGCTGTTTCAAAGCGGCTTTACAGAAAATGCACATCTACATTACAATTTAGAGTGATCTGTTATCAGAGGTGACTGTTTCCAAGTTATGTATTTCAGAAATGTACATATACAAATTACACATTTAGCTAATAATGTATTAAATTTAATTTAATTTATAACTGGCACTTATTTTTAAAAAAAAATAGTCGATTGGCAAATAAATAAATGACAAACAAGTTACATTTGTACAGCATAATTTTATTATGTAAGCTTTATTTTACACCTCGAACGACAAGGGAATTTATAGTGTTAATATTAATTTGCGAGTCCGCGAACCCATTCTCTTAAATGTATTGGTTCAGCAGAGCATTCACAGCTTACAGTATTCACGTTATAAAAAGGCTCTAAAAGCAGCCAGGGCTGAACATCTCCGCAAACTAATAGAAAATAACCAAAATAATCCAAGGTTTTTATTTAACACCGTGGCTAGACTAACAAATAAACAGACATCACCAGAGCAAAATATTCCGTTACAGTATAGCTGTAATGATTTTATGAATTACTTCAATGAGAAAATAGAAAGCATCCGAAACACAATTGTAAATGTACAATCCTCTATGGTGTCTTATGATTCAGCCTCAATTATCGTCCCTCAAGAACAACTACACCGCTTTACAACTGTAGGACAGGAAGAGCTAAATAAACTTATCATTGCATCTAAACCAACAACATGTTTATTAGATCCAATACCCACTAAACTACTGAAAGAAGTGTTACCTGTAGTGGAAGAGCCTCTTCTCAATATTATTAACTCGTCTTTATTTTTAGGTCATGTTCCAAAAATATTCAAGATGGCAGTAATAAAACCTCTTATTAAGAAACCGCAATTAGATCCAAATAACTTAGCAAATTACAGACCCATTTCAAATCTTCAATTTATGTCTAAAATACTAGAAAAAACTGTGTCCGCTCAATTGTGCTCTTTCCTGCAAGAAAATGAGATATATGAAAAATTTCAGTCAGGATTCAGACCGCATCATAGCACAGAAACTGCGTTAGTTAAAAATACAAATGATTTACTTTTAGCTTCTGACCAAGGCTGTATCTCAATACTAGTTCTACTCGATCTTAGCGCTGCGTTTGACACTATCGATCATAAAATACTCTTGGATCGACTACAAAACTACACTGGTGTTCAGGGACAGGCATTAAGCTGGTTCAGATCGTACTTATCAGACCGTTACCATTTTGTCTGTTTAAATGGGGAAAAATCGAAGATAACGTCAGTAGACTATGGAGTGCCGCAAGGATCGGTGTTAGGCCCTCTGCTATTCTCAATATATATGCTGCCACTTGGTAATATTATAAGAAAACATGGAATTAATTTCCACTGCTATGCTGATGCTGACACTCAATTATATATTTTATCACGACCAGATGAAAACACTAACTTATCTAAATTGACAGAGTGTCTTAAAGATATAAAATGCTGGGTGACGTGTAATTTCCTGCTATTAAATCCAGATAAAACGGAGGTATTACTTATTGGTCCAAAAAACTACCCACAAAATCTCTTACAATACAACTTTAATTTAGAAGGATGTCCTGTTACTTTATCCACTACAGTAAAAGACCTGGGTGTTATACTAGACCGCAACTTGTCTTTCGAAAATCATATTTCATATGTTACAAGAACTGCCTTTTTCCACCTTAGAAACATTGCTAAATTACGTAACATGCTATCTGTTTCTGATGCAGAAAAGTTAGTTCATGCATTCATGACCTCGAGACTAGATTACTGTAATGCCTTATTAGCTGGTTGTCCTGCATCCTCAATAAACAAGCTACAGTTAGTGCAAAATGCAGCCGCTAGAGTTCTTACTAGATCAAGAAAATATGATCATATAACACCAATTTTATCATCTCTACACTGGTTACCTATTAAGTTCCGTATAAATTACAAAGTATTACTACTGACCTATAAAGCCCTAAATGGTTTAGCTCCTGTGTATTTAATGGATCTTCTATCGCCCTACAATCCATCGCGTTCTTTAAGATCCCTAAATTCGAGGCTTCTGGTCATTCCTAGAATATCTAAGTCCACTAAAGATATCGTTAGCCTGCTAACGCGCCACCCGTGCGCTCATTTATATATTTATTTTCTCTCGCGCGCCCGCGCCTTTGAGTTTATAAAGTCCAGGTAAGTAAGAAATCAGTCAACAAACACGGTGAGTAATGTCTTCTTGTCCTGTTATTGTCACCTGTGTCACATGTCATATGTTTAGTATAGCCTTCTTCGATGGCAATATAGGATTTATATGTGATAAATGCAAGGAGACAGTCAGGCTGACGGAGAAGATTTCAGAACTAGAGACACGCATCCAAACTTTAATTGAGGATGGTAAGAATGCTAGATCTTTAGATAGTGTTTTGGATGCGCCTAGCATAGTGAACTCTTTACATGATTCGGTTCCGGCTGAAGTAGAGCCCGTGCAGCAGGGCAGATGGGTGACTGTGAGAGATCACCGCTCTAGTCGCGGATCAAAGAACCACTCTTCCGTTCCGATTCCCATAACAAATCGATTTGCCCCACTCAGTGAAACACCCACTGAGAATTCTGTTGATTGTGCCCTGTTAATTGGTGATTCGATCACACGGAACGTGAAAATAGAGACACCAGCCACCATAGTCACATGTTTGCCAGGAGCCAGAGCGCCTGACATCAAAGCAAATTTAAAAGTGCTGGCTAATGCTAATCGTAAATTCTCTAAGATCATTATTCATGTCGGCACTAATGATGTTCGACTCCGCCATTCGGAGATCACCAAAATTAATATTAAAGAGGTGTGTGAACTCGCAAGTACGATGTCAGGCACTGTAATTTGCTCTGGCCCCCTTCCTGTTCGCAGGAGTGATGAGATAGTTAGTAGATTGGCCTCACTGAATGGTTGGCTGTCGAAGTGGTGTCCGCAGAATAATATAAAATTCATAGACAATTGGAAAAGTTTTTGGGGCAAGCCTGATCTGTTGAAAAGAGATGGTATCCATCCCTCCTGGGCTGGTGCTGCTCTTCTCTCTAGTAATTTGGCTCATAGTCTTAGAGCTAAAACATGACAATCTGGGGCTCAGGTCAGGAAGCAGACAGACTGGCTAAACCGACCGTCTTCTAGCGGCCTCACGTCACCAAGGTCAGATAAATCCCATCACATAGAGCCTCTTTCACCTAGATATCATCATATAGAGACTGTGTCTGTTCCCCGAATTTGGAAATCCAAAAAACGTCAGGTTAAAAATGTAATTGTAATTGCACGGGCTCTACTTCAGCCAATGTAGACTGGATTACTGTAACGCTCTTCTCATCGGGATCCCCAACAAGAGTCTGCAAAAGCTGCAGTATGTCCAGAACAGCGCTGCTAGGATCCTGATGAGAGTGCGAAAGTATGAACACATCACTCCCATCCTCCACACACTTCACTGGCTTCCCGTGTCTGCTAGGATCGAAAATAAGGTTTCACTTCTCACTCACCAATGCATCTATGGAAACGCACCCCCCTACCTGAAAGAACTACTTACCCCTGTTTCTACAGCACGCTCCCTCCGATCACAAAACTCAAACCGCCTTTTAATACCAAAAACTAAACTCTGCACAATGGGCGATCGTGCTTTTTGCTCTGCCGCTCCCCGGATTTGGAATGCCCTCCCGGACCATCTGAGGTCACCACAGACCATCAAG